TCCCCCCTCTCCTCTTTCTCCCCTTCTCTCCCTCTCTCTCCCTCTCTCCCTCTCTCTCTCCCTCCCTCCCTCCCTTTCTCTTTTCAGATACTGGCCCAAAGCCTAAGCATATTTTCCCTACACCCTGGGCTTTCTTACTCTTTCTCTGAAGCCCCACCCCAATCCCCGACTTCCACATGCAGTTGCTTGCCAACCTCAGTTGCAAAAGACATGACTTTCTCTCTTCTTCCTTCCTCTTCTCCATCTCTCTCTTCCCAGCAGTTGCCAAGATTTACAGCTTGCCTGCCCTGTTGTATTTCTCACAAACTCAATAAAATTGTCCTTAAGCTTTCTTCTGAGTCCATTTTTAAATTCCTTTATTAAAACTTAGACACCCAAAAGGAAACCTCAGTTGTCCTGATCATACTGCCTTCCTGAAATGCACAAACTACAGAAGTCAAGGGCAAGCATTCAGCTAGGAAAGGAACAGGTGATAAGTTACAAATGACGGCGTCAGAACTACCAAGGAGACAGCACATTTTGAGAATAAAGGGACCACAAAGTGTCAGAAGACAGGAAGATGTCAAGTAAGACTAAAACCTGGAAAATACTCCTCAGTTCAGCACAGTGGTCTTTGGTGCCATCATTGTGAACAATTTTAGAAGAGACAGTAAGGACAAAAGCCAAGCTGTAATGCAAAATAGGAGGCAAGGGGTTAGAGAAACACAACTAGCCTCCTAATAAGATAATTACAAAGGGTATCAGCTGCAAGTAAAATAAAATCCTATTGGGGTTGGAGAGTGGCTAAGAGCACTGGCTGCTCTTGCAGAGGAACCAGGTTCAGTTCCCAGGACCCACATGGCAGCTAATAACCACCCCTAACTCAAGTTCCAGGGAATTCAATGCCCTCTTCCAGCCTCCATGGGCTTTGCATGCATGTGATGCATTTATACACATGTAGACAAAACACTCATACATATAAAATAAAAGTAAATAAGTAAAAAAAATTAAAAATTCTAACAGTAGCAGAAGCAATTATTTTATGAAATCACTTAAGAATTTTGGTAGGTGCCCTGACATCTGCAGTATCTTAGTTCTCTTTTTCTACTCTTCTAAATCCTCCTCAATTTTAATCATGTACATCTGTATGATTAATATCAGAAGGTAAGGAGATGTCTAGTAAGATTAAAGACTGAGGGGCTGGAGAGATGGCTCAGTGGTTAAGAACACTGGTTGTTCTTGCAGAAGACCTGGATTTGAATCCCAGCACCCACATGGCAGCTAACAACTGTCTGTAACTCCAGTTCCAGGGGATCCAACAGCCTCTTGAGTCCTCCGTGGGCAATGCACGACATGGGTGCACTTACCTACATGCAGGCAATGCGTGCATACACATAAAAATAATAAAATATTTTTTAAAAGATTAAAGACTGAAAGTTTCCCCTTAAATTAGACAGAGTGGTTATGGATGATGCTATTAGCACAATTTCAGGGCACCAGTGAGGACAAAAGCTAGGTTACCTTTAATCACACATTAATATTTGATTGATTTTATATAATTAAATTAGCTTCAAATTAACACTTTTGATTACTTACATCTTTGACTATTTAAAAGTTAAAAAA